AGGTATCGAGTTGAAACTTTTTTCACAGATACTCTTCGCTATTTAGTGTTCGTACTTTTTATTATTTCAAAAACTATTGCTTTGAAAATAATTTTGCACCTTTTACAAACTTGGACCTAGTAAAAAAAAACAGACGCTTCTAGAGTAAGTGCAACATTTTGACTTTTTTTTATTGAGAGAACAAACAATGTAAAGAAACAAAAAAAGCGTACCCACCTCAAATAGTGATCAGTTCGTGCAATAAACTTTTGAACCTAACCACACGTATTCTCTCGAAGAAATGTGGCACGAAAAGAGGAATCATTTTGATCGATTGTGAGCCTAATATCTCCTAAAAAGTAGCATTCAACGACTTCGACTCTAATATAACTCTTTTTCTGTTCGTCAAAATTTATCTACCGTGATAGTCTAAAATTTCTCTGACAAGCTGTTCTTCAGAAACCTTAGAAACAGTGGGCGGATGCCTTCAAGAAAGAAAGATATGATGAAATGATATATGTGTTCATTCTGGTACTATTACATGTTAGAAACTTAAGTTATCACGCCATTTATTAGCTCAATAATCAGCGTACATGACAAATTAGCCTTATGAAAAAAAAAATAGTAAGCCATTAGCGAAATCAGTCTGTGTGAAGCACCAATATACATCTTATATGATCAACTATTGAGCAGAAAAGTTCGTAATTGTATGGTTTTGTTGTACCAATTAGTTAGTTCGCGCAAATTCAAGAAAATTCATTTGAAAATGATCGTTTTCTAATGCTAAGAAAAAGAATGGAGGTAGACGAACATTTAGTCGTTACACGTACGTGCAAGCAAAAAAATAACGTATTTATATAGTTCTCTAGTACAATGTTTGTGATAGCTGTACTGTTTCAAATTAATCTTGAAAAATATTTTTTCTTTTTCTTTAGTGTGGTTAACATGAAGTTATTCAAAAAAGAAATCTAGTAAAAATAAAAATAGTTCAAGTCGTTGAAGAAAATGTCGAATTTGTAAAAATAGCTAGTGCAAGTTTTAAGTCGAACTTTTGTGACTTCTTCCCATGGTAGCAACAGTGAAGAAAAAGCGGAAGTCAACGGTCATTGGGTTCGTTTTCGCATGAATCAGACACAACAGATGTCAAATTTTCATCGAGAGCTTTTTAGCAACCGAAAAATGTCCTGAACGGCATTAACGACAAAATTAAGACTGTTCAAGAAAATCCTCGAAATTTACATGGCTGAAATACGTTTGTGAATGTTCTAAATAACGGAATTTCTGATTTTTGTGTAAATGAAAAATTATATAATAGATATCAAAGATGATGAGTAATGACGCATTGATTTGCCATTATCGTCATACGATCAATATAAATGAGTATGAATTGATCAAGTTATAGTTTTAGGAAATAATTCAGATCAATGTTTCTGAACTTATCGAAATATATAGTAGTGTATTGAGATCTACTGTACAAATAACAAACATGTACAACAAGCTTATTTTTTAGTTAAATCAATAGTTAGAATAGCAATTATGTTAAATTAACGAAAATGAGCTACGAAAATTAAGAAACAAACGAACAAATAGTAAAAAAAATTGTAGCTACTCTTAGTTCTCTAGCAAATAATACGCAGAAACTTGATGAAAATTTATCAGACGACGTCAAAATGAACTTTTGTATAAATCCACGAAAATGAAATCTTTTTGCTATTGATCTTACTCATTTTGATAACACTGAAATGCAATTTTAACATAACCCTCATATATTAACACCTAAATCACAATGATCATAGGCATCCTTTAAGCATGACCTCTAAGACTTTCTGATAATATCAAGGTAATTAAAAGCAGTTCTGCATTGATCAGTTATCAAAACTTGTTTTAACAGCATAGTTAACAGACATAAACATGCATTAAATATCTCGAACTTCCAAATGGATTGTATTATATTAAGCTTTTCTTTATAGATTTCTTATAGACTTCATACTTCTAAGACGATGTCAATAAATACATGTTATTTCCTTGTATATAATTATTTTAAAGTTTCCATTTTTTACTATTCTTTACATATGTTAATACTACCTATGCGTTTGTTGTTCTTCTAGGATTTTTTTCCTTTCTCGTTCTACTTAATATAGTTATGTTACGCACACATAAGCATATATCACTCTGCCTCGATAATATTTTTTTAAGTATTCCATTTGTTTTTCTAGATATTGATTTTCAGTCACGCTTTTCCATTCTATTGAAATACGAACTCAGAAAAACTATCAGTTTCAAAGAAAAAAAAACATTATATTAAAATTGAAATTGAATATAATTCAAAATCGTTTGTATTATTTGAAAACATAAGAAATAATTAATCAATGGGTTCAAAATCATCACGACGTAACTTAGATGGTGGTGAACCATTAAGTAAAGAAAAAATTGAAGAACTTTGTCACGATACTGGATTTACAGAAGAAGAATTACTTAAATTGCATACGTAAGTCATTGCTTAGTTTTATTTAAGATTTTTTTTTTGGTTTAACTGTATCATCTTGTATTTAGAAGTTTTTATAAAGATTGTCCTGATGGTAAATTAACATTAAAACAATTTGAAAATGAATATGCAAAAATAATGGGAAAACTTAAACAAAAAACATTAGTTTATGTTAGACATATGTTTAATGTTTATGATCAAGATAAAAATCAATTTATAGATTTTAGGTAAGAAAATGAAAAAGTCTAAAATTTTGTAAAAAAAAAAAGAAAGAGAAAATAAAACAATTAAAAATATGATGACATGATTGATCTTATTTTCATGTAATTATTTTCAAAAAGTTGATCAACATTACCTTCGTTTTTGTTTTTAGAATAAATAATAATACTAAATAAAATTATTTTATTTAGAGAATTCGTCATAGCATTATCGGCTGCTACTGTAGTCAATCGTCTTCGTCTTATTGAAACTCTCTTTAGTGTATTTGATTTAGATAATGATGGAAAAATTACAAAAGATGAAATAGATAAAATGTTACATACACTTGTTGATGTAACAAATTCAAATAAAAGACGTCATGTTTCTTATTCCCAGGAACATGATTTAAATAAACAAAACAATTTACAAAAACGTATTGATGATGCATTTAATGAATTAAATACAAATGATGATGATTATATAACTAAAGATGAATTTATTGAATGGTATATGAAATCTGATCTTTTATCTGATGTTCAAATGAATGAAATAAATACTTCTAATAAATCATGTTTTCAAGAACGTGATAAAAAATTTCGAAAAATAAAAAAAAACCATGTCAATCCAAATAGAAATAAAGACAGTAATCGTCATCAATCTCAAATTAATTTTATATCGAATATGACTGAACGAAAATTATCATCAAGTATGGATGATGATGAAGTTTTTGATAATAAGACAACAATACATAGAAGAATAGTTTCAGATGATACTATTTTACATTATTCAAAAGACAATGAACGATGGAAACATATGTTTAATTCTGTTCTTGAACGAATTCATAGGCAATGTTCTGATGATGAACAAAAAAAATATATAAAACTTAATGTTCGTAATCGAATAAATCATTTTAATTCATGGAAACAACAATATAAAGAAAAATATAAATCAGAATATAATCAACAAGAATCAACTGATGGTTCATCATCTCCTGATATTATTACTGTTAGATTTTAGAATATTCTTCTAATATTTATGTTTTTTTTTGTCTTCCAAATATAGCTGTTTACGATAAAAATAATTTTTTATCTAAATTATTATTCTCTTCTATTAGATCGACATAAAAAAATATTTTTATTTCAGCACCATCTATTTTTTGTTGTATCTTTTTTTTGTAAAATATATATTGATGTTTAAATATTATGATGAAAGTAGTTTTGACTAATGTTTCCATAACTCTTGCAAAATTCTTATAACAAACACAAATTAGACTACGTAAAGATTGCATAATAAATTAAGGTCAAAAAAAAAATGATTATTGTTGTGTCAAATTATATGTTGCTACTGAAATTTTCTTGTTTCTCAAGCGATCTATAATGAAAATAATCTGTGTAAATGTCTGTTGCTATATTGAGTGATGTATCGAAACTTTGAGCAGTACTTTATTTCATGAAGAAGGAAGAATTTTAATTGAAATGTATTAGAATATTTGTAGCAAATGAGTAAATAAGAAATGTTAATTTTTATCGCTTTCAATGGAAATTTCTTTGTATGGTACATCAATAGATACGCTTCACAACATTGGAGCCTGACATGCGTAACAAATTACAGATATTATAAGAAAATAGTTTTATTTAAATAAGCCCACATTCGCATTAAAAAGTGAAAAAAGTTCTTGCATGTTTAAAGTATGAGTCTCTTTTTATCAAGTGAAAAGTAAACATGAGAGTGTGATTGTGCGTATGAGGATGTGAATCTCGTATTCACTGACGCACAGCCACATTCATATGTGATATTAATTTTATGTCTTGCTTCGTTCATCAACGAAGGTTTAATTATTGAGAGCTTCAGTCTGGAAGCACATCTGTTCTGTTACCTGTTTATATTTGTTCTATTTAAAATCATAATATTTAACTCTTCAATATTAGTTTTTGACAATCAGAATTATGAACACACCTGTTAATACCGATGATGATCGACATCTGCTATGTTTTACCTAATAGAATTCTAGGATGTATTGAACAATGACAAATATCATCGAAATAGTCATGATGATTATTTATCGGAAATGATGAAGATTTTGATGAAAACCTGCTGATTTTGCATTTGCTTTCTGAAATTGAACAGTTATAAATTTTTTTTCTAGAAAAAAATAGTTATTAGTATGAAGTTTAATTGTAATCTTAGTATAAGATTTCAGTCCTTGTTCAAGCGATTGTAAGATAATATATATATATTTTAAAACTATTGTCTGATACAGTGAAAAAAAAATAATCTACTTCTTTATCAATAATATTTTTTTCTTTCATAGACAAAACACAAAAGAAAAAATAGTTTATTAAATTCTAGCAAGAAATTCACCATTTTTAAGAAAAAAACAGATATCATCATCAGCCATTAAATTTTCATTTGAACAAATATCATCAATCCATTGATGTAGTATAGCGTGAGAATTAGATCTTGGTGGTAATGAAATTGATCGACATTTTCCTTGTTGTTCACGTTGTTTTTGTTGTGATGAATCATATGTTGAATGACTACGTGATGATGAACGTTCATTTTTGGAAGTATACATGGATAAATCATTATAAGCATCAAAAGCAACATGAAGTCTTTTGATATATAAATCAACATCAGGATTATTATGAACAACAATTTCAGATCGATATTTTCCTGGTTTAGTTTGATTGTTCATTGTAAAATGAATTGGTTTTAAAGATCCACTTATTTTCATTGGAGAAGAATGTATAAAATGTCGTTCTTCAGCTTGACACTCAATTTGAATAGATTGTGGTTGTACAGGACGTGAAGAATATTTTCTTTGTTGATATTGTGGAGGTCGAGATATAAGTAATTCTTCGTCAGAAACAGTCATTTATTGATCTAGAAAAAATAAATTAAACTATTTTTCACAAATATAACCATGGTTCGATAAGCAAAAGGTCATGTTTTTCTTTTCTTGTCCTCGATTTCATGAAAATAATATTTGTAATATAACCGATCTTGATTTTATATATTAAACAATATAAACCATCAAATATAAAGCGTCTTGATTCATGCCTCATCGTAAATGTTTATTATAACTTGTGAAAAGTAAATATTATTTCTTCTTTCTCATTTATCCATATTCGACACTATAAAAAGACAGACATATATACACCTATGGCATCTGATATTGATAGACATAAACTACTTGTGCATGTGTTTGTATGTATGTGAATAACAGATTTAAAAGATTAGTGTGGCTTCATGTTAAATAGTTCTTTTTTTCTTCGTTCGCTTAAGTCGACACAAAACAGTACCTGGCATTGAAAAATAACAACAACGTTAAAGGTAGTGGTATCAAAAGAAAATGAAAGTCTTACTTGTGCCGTTAGAACATACCTTCTTCCTTTTTTTTTCGATTTGCAATCAATCTTCGTTTCGTTTTCTCTTTTCTTCCACATTTGCTCTTCATCGATCGTATTGAAAGCGAGAAAAAAAGACTTGCGATAAAAAAGAAACGAAAACAACCCACCTATTATAAAAAAAAAATCAAAGAGACATTTGGCCTTGGTTTCGAATTGATGCCCTTTTAGTTATTGATAGCACAAGCAATATTCATTTCTTTAGTTCAAACATTTAAATCAATTATATATTGACGAATACTATGAGTTCTATTTTAATAATTATTTAGACAACATTCAAAATAAAATATAAGACTAGACATAATATATATAATCGAAAAAGAAAAGAATATATATGTTGTACACGTATATGAATAAAAAGTGTTTTTTTAATATTAACCAAAAATATCAAAGAGATCATTAAATGCTTGCGTACCAGGTTGTGGCGGTGCTTGCCGTGTTGGTTCCCATGGTGTAGCCGATTGTGGTCGATTAGTAGATGGTGCAGCAGCTTGACTAAAGTCATGACCACCGAACATATTTGCACCCGGTGTTTTTGAACGACTAGCCATTGATTTTTTAATTAACTCATGTGCTGCATTAAAATCAACAGGTCGAAATGGATCAGTATCGTCTAATTTTTGATTTGTTGATGTTGCTGATGTAAATGGATCATCAGCTCGAGTGCTATCAAATGGATCATTGGCACGACCAAATGCATTAAATGTATTATTTGCATTTGCTGGTAAACCAAATGGATCTTGGAAGGAACTAGTCGTTGATGTTACTTGAGACTGTTGTTGTTGTTGTTGTTGAGGAAATACTATTTTACTAACTACGGAAGGTGCTGATTTAACAGGGCTATCAGCAAGCTACATAACACAAAAAGAAACACATACAGTATTACGTATGAACTAAAATCTCTATAAATTCTTGTACCTGTTTAAATTTAGTTATTAATTCTGCAATAGCTGCTTGTGCATCTTTTTGTTCACTTTTTGTGTATTCATCAATTAAAGCTCGTTGACTTTCAACAATATGTTGACAACGTTCAAGATCAAGTTTTATTTGTGCTAATTGTTGTTGTTTATTTAAAAGACGAGTTTCAATCGTATTTTTTTCTTCTTTAATTTTATTTAATGTTTGACGTGTTTCTTGTTGTGCATCTGTTTGAACAGACAATTCATTAATTTTTTCACGTGCTATTGTTATTAAACGATTTTCTTCTTTGATTTGTTGTTCAATATCATGAATATCTTTAATTGTTTTTTCTTTTCGATTTTGTATATCATTAAATTCATTTTGTTTTTCAGTCATACGTTGTTGGCGTTCAACTAATGTTGCATTAACTGTACCAGAACGAAGCTCAAGTGATGATAATTCAGCACGTTTATCTTTAACCGCTTGTTGTTTTTCATTAAAATGAATTTCGCATAAACTTTTTTCGCTTGTTAATGTATTTACTTCACTTAATAATTGTTGTAATTCCGCATTATCACTTTCATTTATTGAAAATGTTTTTGGTCGAAGTGATGGTGGAATCATATCATGTGAAAGTTCCATTGGAAGTTGATAATTCGCAGCTAAAGAAGATAGAGAAAATAATTCTATAGTTTTTGTTTTTCAATAATTTCATAAAACCTATAAAGCTTTTAGAATTTCATACAAGTCTTATATTGAAAACTCATCATGTTTCAACACTCTTCATATTTAGTTAGAATACATAAAATAGCATCTACATATGAACGAAAACTCGAACTCGTAGCTAAAAAAATAGATCCTACCGCTAAAAGGAGCGCGATCGATATGTACAATCGAAGCATTTTTATTCCTAAGCAATCATAAATATTTGAAACGTGAGAAGTCTTTTTTTTTTAAGTGGCCATCTCGAAAATTTGTGTAAAAAATAGTACGAAGTAGAATACATCTTTCAAATAAATAAGAATCAATAGAATACGAAGAACTCTTTCAATATATAACTCTTAGTTAACAAAGACTTGCACAAAAGTATGAATTATTTTCTAGTATTTTTATGTCCTATGAAACAATTATTGACATTGGGTTTTTCTGGTGATAGTTCTTCGATAGCTAAACGAAGATATGACCTTATGAAAATACGATTGCTTTTATTTTGAATGCATAGAAATTAAAAATATCGCTCAATTCTCTTTTAAAAAACTGTTATATATTCATATTACATTATTAAAGCAAAGTCGTCAGATCATTTAGCCTTGTAGAGTGTGGAACAAAAACCTCCATGAAGACTCTCTACTCATATATGTATCAACAAATTCAAACATATATTTGCCTAAGTATCAAAGGAGAAATGGTTGACGGTATACTCTCAATTTAAAAGAAGTCGTCGCAATTATAAGATAATACTAAAATAAATAAATGCATATCAAAAATCAGAAAAGACGTTCTATTCTTTAATTAGTTATTCCTTTTTTTAGTAAAATTTTGAAAATTTTTGATGTCTAAATATTAAGACAATACGTTCATAAATCGTCTGTATTTTTAATAGAATTCTGTCATGAAATATGATGTATTTTACTTGTTAATATAGTTTGATTTAGTCTTTGAATTCGCTTTCTAGAAATAATGTTATATGAATTTTCATTAGTAGCCAAAAAATCCTGTGACTTTTTAAACTGCTAAATGTTTTGTGCTATTTGAAATCAACATCGAATTCTGATAGTTTATAAAAACTTCTGCTTAAGCTTTTCGCATAAAAAAAGCGTTTTCTAAAATTCTAATGAAATATACATCATGTGATGCACGATCCAATAATGATGATAAATATTTGGTTACTTTTGAATTTACACCGAATGAAATTCTCTAATATTTTGACTATGTCGAGATATATGTGTTAGTAAATAGTTTGTCTACATTATTACATATAAAAAAGAACAAACCTTTTAATTTAAGACTAATAAAATATGATGCCAATGCAAATTGTTCCGCATTAAGTTTTCCAGTTTGACCAATATCACATAGATTCCAAATATGTGATAAAACAAAATTTGGTAAACCACTTGCAAGAAATGTTTGAAAAACATCTCCACCTATAGACAAAACAAAAAGCATATACAGTAAATTATTATTTTTTTTTTTTTCTTAAATACATTTGCATACCTGTAAGAAAACCATCTTTATCAAGATCTAATTGTTGAAATAAAATATCAAATTTTTGTTTTTCTTCTGCATTAACAATCCAATTATCATCAGTTCGTTTTGATGGTGAAACTTGTAATGGTGTTATTGATGTTAATATATTTGTATTTGGAATTAAATTTTGTAAAACAATTCCACTTTCAACACCTGATGCACGACGCATTCGTATTGGCATTAAATTTGTTGGCACACGTTCAGGTAATTCACGTATTGTCGAAGATTTTAAACCATGAATAAGAAACATAGCAATCGAAAATTCATTTCTATCAAGTGCACCATCTTCATCAATATCACTTAATTCCCAAATTTTATGTAATTGATCAGCTGATAAACCTGATTTTAGAAATATTGGTTTAACGGATGAACCAGGGATTTTATTCATCGGTCCACTTAATTTTTCAAATGCACGATCAAATGTACAACGTGCTGTTGGTCCTATTGTCCATATATCAGCAACAGATAAACTTATGGATTGTGGTATATCACTAGCTAAATTAGGTGGTACAATATCTTTTGTTATATTTGAATAATCATGAAAATCTAAATTATTTTGTGCTAGTGCAATTAATTTAAGTCCAATATAAAATCCTCGGCGATCTAAATAACCACGACCATGTGCATCGGATAAATTCCAAATTAATTTTAATTGATCAGGTTTTAAATGAGAACGTTGAAAATAATTATTTGCTTCAATTGAACTTACAATACCATGATCAAGATGATCAGCTTGTGAGAAATGATATTCATATACAGCATATTGTGATTTAGGAACCACAACATCTAAATCTATTGAATCAAAGTCAGTCATCTGAAAAGAACATAAAAGTTTAAATGTCGTTTTTTTTTTATTTTAAAAACACCATCAAGTATATGCTAATGTGTGTAGTAGATAATGCATTGAATATTTACATTAGAAAAGAAAACGTCCAACAAGCATGCGCAGCACATGACAAAAAAAAAGAATTCAAAGACTAATTGTCTAATTCAAATATAAGCGGATTTGTGAATCGTACAGCGGATTTAGTAGTTGGTGTCGTTGTTGTTATTGCTTCTTCTTTTGTATTGTCATTATTATTTGATTGAGATCCAGTTGCTTGCCAAGCAATAACATCTTGAAATTCAATAGGATTTTTATAAGTATCCGATTGTTTAGTCTTATTTTTTTCACTTATTGAATCATCTTGATCACTTGATTGAGAATTAAGAGAATCTTGTCGTTTACGTTTTTTTAATTTTCGTTGTTGATTTGATGATAATTTTCTCATACCAGAAACTGGTCCACCTGGTTTAAATGTTTTCCTTGATACTTGATTAT